ATTGAATCCAATTTTGAAAGAAGTTCTACTGTGGGTAAAATGCTACCAGACAACATCACGTGCTACAGAGAAATTATTCATGAAAGGAAGAGTCAATTGATGAGACAAACTTCACTCTTATTTTAAGAAATCGCCCCAGCCACCCCAACCTTCAGCAACCACCACCCTTATCAGTCATAGGCATCGACATCAAGGCAAGACCCTCCACTGCTTGCTGAAACCTCAGATGATGGTCAACACTTTTTAGCAATGAAGTATTTTTTAATTAAGGTATATACATGGGGGTTTTTTTTAGACAGAATGCTATTGAACCCTTAATAAACTACAGTACAGTGCAAACATAACTTCTATATGCATTGGAAAACCAAAAACTTCATTGACTCACTTTATTGCAGTGGTCTGGAACTGAACCCACAATAGCTCCAAGATATGCCTGTATATACTTAGCTATAACCAAAACACATTTGATGCATGAATCAAAATTTGGCAGCAGATCTAGGAAACTGTCAAGGGGAACCAGTGAGCAGTGAGTATGTTGAGAACTACCTACGCCGCTGGAGCCCAAACCATTGGAACTCAAACATGATTCTAAGCTGGGCTGCTAAGCCCACCTTTGGAGCATATCATATTCTTCTGATTCCCTCTTCCTGCATAATTAATGAAGAGTTAACCACATCTTGGCTTTCTGTCCCAGGTCTTTGCATTTCAGTAGGAGTGAGTCACAGTAAGAACATTTGTCTGGGGGCAAAAAATAAGGACCAGGCCATGAGTCCTGGAGGAGAGGTATTTGTTATAACCAGAGGCAGCTCCAGAATGTCAAGATAAGAGGAGCTCAGGGGCAGTGACCTGATTAGAAATGGGGCCTAGGGAACTTATCCCAAAGCTGAATATACAAAGCAAGGATATGACTTTGATGGAGATTGTATGTGTACACTTACAGCAATAAAAATAAGTTTCTCCGAGCTTCACCCACTTAAAGCTGCAAAAACATCTATTGTCAATGAGAAGTCCAAGAAAACCTGAAGGTAATATTTTTTTGGGTGGGGGTGGCTGATGGGGATCTGTTAGAATAGGCTAGTAGAAGGCTTGGGGCCTAGGAAGGGGAGCAGAGAGTGACAAGAGACAGATGGCTGGCCCCCCAGACTCTACCATTTCCTAGCTATGTGACCTTGAAAGAGTCACTCCATCTCTCTGAGCTTTGGCCTCTGCATATGACGAAGAGAGATACTGATAACTTAGCCACAAGTTCATTGTAAAGATGAAATGAAATAACACATATAAAGCCCTGTAGCAGATGTCAGTGTCCCACCTATGTCCCCTTGGGCCACCGTGGAGGTTACCTGTAGACAGGCTTACTTCTCTTACAGAACTCCATCTGTAAGCAAGTATAATAATGGCACCTACCTCATAGGGCTGTTAATGTAAAACTCTTAAGACAGTGCCTGGTTCTTAGCAAGTTTTCTACAAGGGTTAGTTTTTGTCATCATTCCCCTGGGTTGTGTAGTACAGAATATTAATTGTCCTCCAGTATTCCCTCTTCTTTTAGTAATCAGAACCAATCCCAATGGCTCCCCAGCCTCCCTTTCAACAAGGTATGTCCATGTGCCTGAGGTCTAGCCAATGGGCTTGTGAGAAATGATCAGGCAAGTTCTGTGTCATACCCTTACAAAGAAGCTGCTTGGCCTCCATCTACCCTTTGCCCCCTTTGCCACGGTAGAGAGATATCGGGAACTGAAGCAGGCTACCTTGGTATCAAAGACAGAAATCTCACACTGACAATGGCAGAACCACACCACTGTGTACATCTGGGCTGTTGTATGTGAGAGAAACGAGATCCTGTTTTACTCCACTGTATTTTAGGGTCCTTTTTTTTTCCAGCAGCGTATCCTTACCTAACTAATCCAGCCCAAAGCCCAAAGATGAGATGATGGGATGGGAGTTTTTTCCTTCTTTAATTCTTCATTGTGCCTACCACACGCCCGGCACCAGGCCAGGAACTGACACCACAAGATGAGCAGGATGCAGACCAAACACCATGAAGCTCAAAGTGCAATGAGACAGAAGGATCTAAAGACAAAAATTTCAGCCTTCTGTGATAAGTGTTGTGGAGGCAGAGAGGAGGGAGAAATTACTTCAGGTCCTAAAAGGTAAGGAGGAGTTTGTCAGGCCGTAGGGGAGGGAGTGGGGTGGTAATTGGGAGGCATTCCAGGAGAGCTAACAGTACGTGAGAAATCACGAGATGGGGAATCATAGGCATTTGGGCAAAACAAGCTCTAGGCCCAACTTTACCGTTCACTTGGTAGGTTCACTTTAACATCTGGGGTCTCCTTTTCCAAATCTGCAAAGTAGGATCAAAACTTCCGTTCGGGGCACCTGGGTGGCTCAGCCAGTTAAGTGTCATCTGCCTTCAGCTCAGGTCAAGATCCCGGGGTCCTGGGATTGTGTCCCACGTTAGGGCTCCCTGCTTAGTGGGGAGTCTGCTTCTCCCTCTCCCTCTGCCTCTTCCCCCAATTGTGCTCTTGCTCACTCTCTCTCAAATAAATAAATAAAATCTTTAAAAACAAAACAAAACAAACAACACTTCTGTTCTACTTTAGGCCTCAAGGTGCCATAAGGGCTCAACGATGAACATTTGGAAGAGGTATAAAGCATAGTGCAAGTACTAGTTACTGGCATTGTCATTTTAGAAGCCTAGTCTGGGACATTGTTGCTGGCTGGCTATGCCCAGCTTCATGGGGTCAACAGGATCGGGCTCCTGGAGAATTCAGGCCCTTGGAAGGGTGGCAGGGGCTCAGAAATTTCCCTTGAGAGAAATCCACTCAGCTTGGGAAGTGGTTCAACTTTCTTCATGGCAGCTGGACAGTGCATACCAAGAGTCTTAAAAATATCCATTTTCTTTGAGAAATTCACCTACTATTACATGAAATAATTGCAAATGCCACAGAAGTATGTGTATACAACTGTTTTTTAAAATAGCAAGAACAGAAACAAAAACAAACGAACAAGCAAACCAGGAAATCTATCTGTACATTAGTAAAACTAATTGGGGCACACAATAGATTGTGGTGGACGGCTATACTCAGTCTGTATGATCGGGCTCTGGAGAGGAATCTGCCGCCATTCAGGGTGACCCCATATCAGAAGGGCCTGGTGCATGTAATCTGTCAGTGCTCAGCTGAGGTCTTTTGCTGGGAACTGCCCTTTACCAAGGGAGCCACCTCAACAAAGACTATAGAATACTGTATATACTTTAAAATCATTGATGCTTATCTCTGGGGGGCGCCGGTATGGCGTTTTCCTGCATTTCTGTGCATTTTCCAAGCTTTTGAGATGGACTGTGTGTTACTATTCAGCTATATTTTCCAGATTCCTTTCACCCTATCTCCTTGCTACTCCTTGAACGTGCCAGACACATTCCCTCCACCGGACATTTGCACTTGCCATTCCCTCTACCTGGAGCCCCCTGCCCCTGGACACGTGCAACCTCCTTCCTCATCACCTTCAGATCTTTGCTGAAACATCACCTCCTTGGTCAAGACTTCTCAGACCCACCCCATTTAAAACATAGCCCTACCCCTCCCCAACACACCCACCCCCCTTCCCTGCTTCATTTTTGTCCATAGCCCTTGTCCCCACCTGACAACTGTGTATTTCACCTCTTTACTTATTCATTGCCTGTCTTCACACTTTAGAATGTAAACTCCATAAGAATCAGACCTTTGTCTATTTATTCACTGCTGTATCCTCAGCACCTAGAATAGCTGAGTGCAGTTCTAGGATGTTCTAAGCACATAGTAGGTGCTAAACAAATAGTGGCTGAATGAAAGAATAAATACATGAAAGGGATAATTTCAGTGTCCTCTGAACTCCTGTCAGGTCTTCCTATAGGGGCAGGAGTGGGCACAGGTGGGGCAGGAAGTAGGGAATAGCAGGAGCAGTTGTGAGGAGAGCATCGCAGGAAGAAGGCGGCTCTGGACAATGCCAACTGGTGCCAAACTCTAGCCCAGATACCAGGTTCACTATGACACTGGGGTCAGGTGGCAAAGGGCTTCCAATGCGTCATCCAGGTTGGGAGCAGCAACGTGGCCCCTGGGCAGAGGGACACAAACCAAGAAACCAACCTGACACACAAAACACCCAGATGTTGAGAACACTCAAAGAGACGTGAGACACAGTGGGTTACCAGCAGCAAGAAGGTGATCCTACCGGACTGAACTAGGGCTAATGAGTCCAATTTACAACTCCTGTTTTGGTTTGATACAAAGAACTGTCCCCCATTCCTGCCTCGCCTCACCCCCACCCCCATGAGAGCTGTCCAACAAGGGCCAGAGCCCAGGATTCACTCATTCATCCCTGGCTTGGCCTTTCTGTCAGTACCTTCAACAGTTCTCTATTAAATGTGTTTACTCTGCCAGCTGCCGAACTCAGCGCTGTGAAAGCAATGGTGACCAAACATTTTCAAATAAATACATACATACACCATTATAAATTGTGAAGGCACAAAACTGGGTTGTCAGAGAGAGGAAGGCCTTCCTCAAACAGGGGGCCGGGAGGCCTCTCTAGGACTCCCGAGATATTTGAGGGAGCCCTGAGCGGTGAGCAAGCCTCCAGACTCTATCAGGGGAGGGGCGTCCCCGCAGAGGGAACCTCAGGAGCATGAAGTGGCGCTCTAGAGCTGGTAGGGACCTCAGTGTACATCGGAGGAACACGCGGCCCAAAGACTGGGAATGATTTGTCCACAGACAGCAAGTCGGTGGAACCTTCGAGGGGTGGAGGGTCCGCCGAGGCCCCTTGCCGCCTCGTGGAAGCCAGATAACCGCCTCACAGCCAGACCCAAGAGCGGTGAGAGGCGGAGACCAGAAGCAAGAGGCGTGAGACTGAGGGCGGAGCGAGCTGCAGCCGGACCCCCAGAGGGGTGGGAAAAAGGGGGCAGGGGCGGTCCCGATGACGTCATTTCCGGGGCCGGGGGTATATAAATTCCTGCAGTACCAGAGCCCAGTGAAGAGAGGCTGGTGGGTGGACAGACAGGCGGACGCAGACTGGAAAGCTGAGACCTCCGCCCCCAATCCGCGCCAGCGCCGCCACAACCCGCCCCGAGGCCGCCCGTCCAGCCAGCGCTAGCCAGGGTGCCTGCCGTGCCCGGCTCCAGACCGCCAGCTGCTCGGCGCCTCGGGATCGCCATGCGTTCCGCCGCTGTCCTGGCGCTTCTGTTCTGCGCCGGGCAAGGTGAGCTAGCGCGGGGTCTCGTGGGAGAAGGTCCTCGGCGCCCCCGCCTGCCCTGAGGCCCAGGCCCCAGCCAGCGCCGCGCGCCGCGCGCCCCTCGTCCCTCCCCTCCGGCGCGGCGAGCTTTCAGCACCGCGGACAGCGCCTCCGCCTCCCTGCTGACCCCGCAGAGCCTCCTCGACCCCAAACCCGCAGACCTGATTCTTTGGGCCTGACTCCTGACCCCGCGGCACAGGACCCCCGGCGCCCCCACTCCATATCTGGGCTCGACATCTCGACTGCATCTGAGCCAGTTCTGGCCCCGTGCCATGGCTGGCCAAGGTCACTGGGGGAGATGGGAGAACCCTTGCTGGCTCCCACTCTCCCCTCTTTCTCTTCCCTCCTCTTGCTCTCCCCATCTTTCCGCCCTTGGCTTCTGTCTCTCCGTATCATCTCTCACAATCCTCCTCCTCCTCGTCGTCTCTTTCCCCACACCTCTGGGGTCTCTCTTCCTCTCCCCGCTTCCTTCTCCACCCCAGTCCCACTCAGCCACTGGCCTTGTTTTCGTAGCACTAGCCTTCAGCTCCCCGCCCCACCCCCAGCAGGAGCTCTCCCAAAGGGAAGCGTTAGGGAGCTCAGTGCAGCCTCGGGGGACCATTCCCGTGGGGGCAGCCGCCAGGGAAGGGAAACAAGATCAACCCCAGCGTCTCATTGGGTGGGGGCAGTTTTGGGGGGGGCACTGGGGTGAATGGGCCCCCTGTAAACCCAAGCCAGGGGAGGACTGCGCTCGCCCCTCGGAGCAGAGGAGTCACCCCAGCACTCTCTTTTTCTTCCCAGTCATTGCCCTTCCTGTGAACAGCCCTATGAATAAAGGAGACACCGAGGTAAGAAGGGGTACGGGGATGCCCCGGGATGGTGGGTAGGAGGCTCCAGTGGACACCTCACAGCCAGGTTTTGGGCAGCTGCAGGAGTGAGTCTGGCATAAAGCCAAGAGCCAGCACTGCGGCTGCTGAGCCTGGGGACAGCTTGCAAAAGAAGATATCAAAGATTGCTAGATTTCCCTGCCATCCTGCTGTGGGGACTTCCCCAGCTTCCTCCGAGCTGGGTATGCTGCCCATGGGGCCTGTGCCTTAGCTACTGGGCCAAGGTGTCAGGCTATAGCCTTGAACGCTCCAAATCTGGCAGACCCAGGCTGAGCTGCTGGGGGGCGCTTCCTGTGGTTGTGGGTTGTGGCTGCCACAGATCTGCAAGGACGGTCTTCACTTCTCTGGCTCTGGCCTCCCTCTTTGATCTTCCCCTCCTCCCAAGGCTCAGCTAGCAACCCCCACCCCCACCCCCTAGGCACTCAGAGCCCTCGATCTCACAATGAAAACACTCTTGATCATGGCTTCTTCACCCAGGGTCCTCGCCATTTGGGGCTGATGGTGGATGTCCCTCAGGAAAGGGCCTTAGGAGATACTAGTGGGGGGCTCTGCAGCCAGGGAGACACTCTCTGTTGGGTGTATACTTGGAATTCATTCACGTCTGGGCTGGGGCTGTTTTTTCAGTCTCTGGTGCTTGCGGATACCCCCACTTGCGACCCAGAGAAATTTCTACCCCTCACCTTCTCAGGAGCTGTTTTCTTCCATTCTGGAGAGGCTGTGGTTCAACCCAAAACATCAAAGCAATTCCAACCTCTGTTTGCTCAATTGTATTTCCTGTGTTTTACTTGCAGACAAGCCTGCATAGAAGCCTCTACCACTCTTATACTGTGTGGTCTTAGCAAAATTCTTTAACTTCTCTGAGCTTCCCCTCTTCCCATCTATAGTAGTTCCCTTGAGGGAAGTTGTGAGAGTAGGAATTATAGATGTAATGCACCTGGCAAATAGCAGGTCCTCAGTTAATGGGCACCTTAGAGTTTCCCTTCAGAGCTCTTTATTATTATTATTATCCATATCCAATTCCTCTCTCCCAAAATCTGTCCTCATGGACTGGTGGTTATCTGACATTCCCAGTGTAAGGTCCACGGTTGCAGGGGGATGCAGGGTGTAGGCTGCAGGGTCCTTCTTACCAGATCCTTTATGGGAGACACTTTGGTCCCCACACTCTACCCAGCAGCCTGGGGTCAGGAGCACCATAACACCTGGTGAAGACCTAAATATTCCATCCTACGATGCTGTGACTACTGTAGAGCCTGTTTGCCAGTTTGCCATCCTGAATTTTTGGATGGGTTGCTTTGGCATCCCATCGACCCAGCCTGCCACCCCCTCACTCCCCACCAGCATTGCCTGATGCATGTCTGACACCTCCTGGTTTCCTGTCCTGCTCTAGGCAGCTGAAGCAGGTTGAAAGTTGTGAATCCCTCCCTTGGTGTGTGTGGCACTTCATGCTTTGTAGAGTGTTTGCCCATCTGTTTCTGATCACCCTGGGAGGGGAGTTGGGAAAGTCTTCTCGCTCTCATTTTACAAATGAGCAAATTGAGGCTCAGAGAGGTCAAGTCATGTGTCCAAGATCACTCAGCTAGGATACTGCACTGCAGTTGGCACTACCTTCAAAGATCCATTTATCAGCTGCCTGGTTATCCACAGTACCTTGCTGGGCACTGGACAAAACTTTTAGAGATCTGACTTCTGTTGGCCTGGGATGGACACCCAGATGTAGCTGATGTGTGCCCACATCCAGCCACAGGATTCATCCCATGGGGGAACACAGCCAGACCGTGAGGCTGTCACTCCCTGCATGTGACAACATCATGGGTTTTGGGAGACAGTGATCCAAGTCTTCTTTTCAGGCAGGGTAGAGCCGGGGAAGGTCTTTGTTCTCTGGGCAGCCCAGAAATACTTCCAGGCGATAGTTGACTTTTGGGGCATCTGCAAGACTAAAGTACTTCTGCAAGACATACCTTAACGCCCAGGAGCAGCTCCCCCATCTTTAGAGAAACACTTGGTACCCGGTACCAGGTACTCACCCCCACCATGTCCCACCTTAGAGGGTAGCTGCTGGCCAGAGGATTAGAGCACCTGGCATGTGGTAAACACCATATAAGGGGTTTCTATGATCGCTATTATTGTCTGGCTAAGAATGCAGAGCTGTGGCCCTGAGACAGGAATCCACGGGCTCCTGAAGACAAAAGCAGATGTCCCTATATTCTCATTAGAAATTTGCCCTGGAGTCTCAGGGGCTGAGCCCCATACACAAGCCAGGCCCAACCTGCCCCCACTCTCTTCCTAGGTGATGAAGTGCATCGTTGAGGTCATCTCTGACACACTCTCCAAGCCCAGCCCCATGCCTGTCAGCCAGGAGTGTTTCGAGACACTCCGAGGAGGTACGGGCTAGGCTGGTGCGGGGGGGCTACTGTCTGTGGGGCTGGGAGGTGAGGATATGGGTGTGTGGCTTTGGGCAAAATCCAGTGATCAAGCACCTGCCCTGGCCAAGTCTGTGCCAGTGTCGGGGTGGTAGAGAGATGAGGGGGTCACAGCCCCGTGCTCCTGGAGCTTACAGACTAGCAGACGGAACAATAGGAACACAGTTAACTAGAATTCTGGGCAGGATGAAACCAGGGCTGGAACAGCAAGCCACCTTGTCTACCGTGTACAGAGATGTTGTGTTGCTATATCCCCAGAGCCCAGGAAAGCTGCCGGCACCTGGCAGACAATCTATAGGTTTGTGATGAATAAAGGAGCGTCGTAGGTGGGCACGGCAAGGACAAAGTGTTTCCAGCCAAGCAGTCAAGTTTTGCCTAGCTATTGGAGGGATCCACCATTAGCACTGGGGTTGGACTTTCAGAGAAAAGTTGAAAATCAATAGAAAAAATCAAGAAAGGGTAGTCCAGGTGGAGTAGATCCTTGAGCAGACACGGAGATGGGAAAATGTGGGGCAGAGACACCCCTCCCTCTCCTGGGGGCCTGCCGTCTCTCAGGTGAGGTCTGGGGGCCGGGCCGGCAGCTGACTTTCTGAGGCTGTAGGAAGTGTTGGCTCCTTGGGAAGGAGGCCACCTCCAAAGCGGTATCTCAAGACCTGATCTTGCGGCTGCTACCCAAGTTTTGAGTTTCCAAAATAAATTCCTTGTGCTCAGCTGAAAATATCGATGGTAATCTCTTTCTCGGCTCTTCTCTGGAAACCACCCGTAACGACTCTCCTTCACTGCAGATGAGCGGATCCTCTCAATCCTGCGGCATCAGAATTTGCTGAAAGAGCTCCAAGACCTTGCTCTCCAAGGTATTTTCCAGTCCCTGAATAGGAGTCTGGGTAATTCCAGTAATTGAGAGAAAACCAGGATGGAAGTTTGAGCAAGGTCCTAGTTCTCTCTGATTTGGTTATTTCCTTGCGATTATAGAAAGGTGGGCTCCTCCCGGCCACCTGGTACGATTTGTCATTGATACAGTTAAAGAGATTAAGGCCCAGAGAGGTTGAGTGACTTGTCCAAGGTCACACAGTAAGTTAAGGACATGCCAAGACCAGATGCAGCTCGCCTAATACCCCGCCATCTCTGGGGATCAGTCATTTTGGTGGAAGCACTTTTAAGACTAGGTTGCCGAGAGGGTCTCTTTCTTCTGTTAACAGAAGAGCAAACTGGTCTCCAGGAGAGAGGAGGGGCCCCTTTCCCCTTGTGAGCTTCTTCTCGAGGGGTAGATGGGGGAAGCAAGGTCTTGCTTGCCCCCAAAACACAGACCAGACTTTCAGCATGTTTTAGAATAAAATAGGTCTTTCTCTAAGAGATTAAGAAAATCCACTGATAGTCTTAGGAATGGAGTGACTTTGTGAGGTAATGAGCTCCTTGTCACTGAGGATATTCAAGCAGAGCCTGGACAGGAGTCTGGGATGGAGAGTTAGGCTGATGTCATCCCACAGATGCCCACCCCCAGATTCCTTCGTGGATTCATGGGAGGCACAGAGACAGACTCCCTGGGGAGTTGGGAAAAAATGGGTTCTGGCCCTGCGTCCGCCCCATGCTGATGCCCTGTGGGAAGCGGCTGCTTATCTGGGGGCAGGCCCCTGGCCCTGGGCCTCTCCCTGGGCACGGGCCTTCCGTCAGGAATCACGCATCGGCTTCCCAAGGAAGTGAGGGCCTGTCTTCAGGGCTGGGCTTCAGGCTCGGGTGGGGTGTGGTGGGAGGCACAAAAGCTGCTCCAGCTCTGGGACGCCCCCACTCTGAGGCCCTTGGGATGGAGCAGGCCACCTGTGAGAATGGGTGCTGGGAGTGTGAGGTGAGTGCCTGGCACGGGGTGGGTGCGAGCTGGGGCCATGACTATCGCTGCCTGTCTTACTCATTTCATCTTCGTTGACCCTGGTAGGATTTTTTTTTAGCTAAACATTAAATATTTTATTGCAATATGATAATTTAAAAATTACATATTGAATGACTAATGTATTACATTTAAATAATTAAATACAGTGTCAACAGAGACTGTTATAGGAGGATGTGTCCTGAAATGTCTGTGTACACACAGATGCGTGTGTATCCGATAGGAGCAGTTTTCAATACGCGTCCATATTACTGTTTTCTATCAGAAGAGTACGAGACATAGCTATGTGTCCGTCTGTCCGTCCACCCACCTAGCCATCCGTCCACTCCCTCTTCTGCACTCTCAGAGCGACTTCTGCATACGTCTGTCTTAGCGCTTCCCAAGCAGCAACCCTGTCCTGTGGGTGAGCACCCTCAGCTCGGAGAGCTCCGGTTACCCAAGGTCACATAGTAAGGAATGACCAGGAGGTGTGAGCTGAGGTCTGCTGGGGGTCAAGTCCGGGCAGGTGCCGCCGCAGCAGGTGCCTCTAGCCACCCCAGAAATTCCCAGCGTGGGGAAAACTGCAGCAGCGTCTGCAGAGTTGGCCTGGCTGAGAGCCCATCGTCTGGAACCGGGCACGGATGGGGACAGTCAGGGGAGGCAGCAGCAGTCCGGGGCCAATGCAGGGAGAGGGATGCGTGGATCACAGCAGCAGGTGGAGCTCAGGCACCTGCTGGGCCTTCTCCCAAAGACCTGGACTTACGGGGTCCGGGGGAGCAGGGCTTGCCTGGTTCAAGATCCCCCATGAGGGGACAGACGAGCAGTCACCATGATCTCCTGCTGCAGGGTCCCCCTAGCTACCAGCCAGGTGCAGAGGGCCCCCACTCTCTGCTCCCACCCCTGGGACCCTCTGCTCCATCTGAGTCTCTGTTGCTGTCCGAGGCAGCAGGTAAGACTTGTTCGCATGTCCCAGGTGAGAAACGTGAGCGTGGAGAGGTGCGGTGGCTGCCTGATGGGCCCCGGATGGGAGAGGGCAGGGGGAGCCAGCAACCCCCCCCACCACCTGAAGCTCTTGCTCCCTCCGATGTCTTGTTCAGCAGGATTGGAACATGACGTGCCCAGTTTACACAGAAGGAAATGGAAGCCTTCACGCTCACAAATATGCCAGGGCTGGGCTTGGCCAAATGGGACTTTTTCTCCTTTTCTTTCTTTCTTTCTTTCTTTCTTTCTTTGTTTCTTTCTCCCCGCCCGCCTTTTCTCATACCAGGTGCCAAGGAGAGGGCACATCAGAAGAAACACAGCAGTCTTGAGGATGGACTCTCAGACGCTCTTGAGAAGCAGAATGACCAGGCCGAGCTGAAAGGTCAGTGCCGGCCCGTCTAGCCAGAGGCTGGGGAGGGAGGAGATAAGAACAGTAGTTACAAGATCAAAGATTCCTAGGGGTCAAGGAGCCCCTCCTTTAGGCACTGTAAGGTACCTAGCTATCATTTCGATCTTCCCTGTACAAATGGGGAAACTGAGGCCCAGAGAGATTTTTAAGTACCTTGTCCAAGGTAAGCAGCATAACTACAGATGGGAATCCAGGTCTATCTCACTACAGAGCCCTAGGGTGGCCCTGCCTGCCCACCGCAGGGGCTCACACTCAGGGCAGGTTCAACGCCGGATCCTCCCAGAGGCCACTGCAGCAGAAACCCCCCACCCCCACCACGCAGCACCTGTCCTCCTGGGATTTGGTGGTGCCTCAGCAGAGTCTTGTTGTAGGAAGATCCTGGAAGAATAGCTCTCAAACATTAAATGAACCTGGATCATCTTTCTTGAAGCCAGAGAGCTTCTAAAGGTCAAAGAGATCATGGCGTAGGTCAAGGGGATGCCCTAGTACTCATCCCCCTGCCTGGAAACAGCCACAAACTGCCCCCGCAGGGCCTGCTATTTGCGTGTGGAAGGTGGGTGGACAGGCCAGTTTCTAGGATCAGGGATCTCAGTGGACTTCCATCTGGGGCACCTGGAAGCTTTAATGGGAGAGGTAGCTATGTGTCAGCACAAAGAGCACCCTGTACTTGGCATTTGGAGACTTGTATTCAAGGCCCTGCTGCTTACAGACTGTGAGCATGGACAGGTCACCTGACCTGCCTGAGGGTCAGGGAGAGCTTCTGTAGACGGGATAGGAACACTTTCACCCGGGGTCCTGGACAAACGGTGGAATGTACTTGATAGCACTTGGTCCAACAGTACTCATTCTAGGGTCGGGAGGGATTTTTACTGTGAAAAGACAGCCACCAGAAAATGTTTTTAATGAAACCGTACAAATAGGAATTGAACGCTTCCACAGGACACTCAAGCCTCACGTGGAGGAGAGAATGAAGTTGCAGTAATGGTGCCTCTTACACAGAGAGGTTAAGGTGTTTGCCCAAGCTCACACAGCAATTCAGCTGATGTCCTAATTTTCAATTCTGAGGTCATTTTCAGGGTGATTTTTTTTTTTAAATCACTTCCTGCTTTAAGAAGTAGAATCCCAAAGAGAGAAACATATGCCAGTTGTGCTCAGGTCAAACCCAGACACAGAGCGGGTGACGTTAATTCTGTCATGAGTGTCTTGGGCCGGACTTGAGGGAAGCCTAAAGATAAAATGACCAAGTTCTGAAATCGGGCTCTTGGGAGACACCCCCGCCCCCGCCCCGTGTGCAGCCTGGTCCTCAGGGCCTGACTGTTGTTTCCGCAGAGGTGACGGGCGAGGCGTCCCCCAAGGATGCTGCGGAGAAAAGAGAGGATTCTAAAGACGCAGAGAAGGGTGGAGACACAGATGGAGCCAGGCCCCAGGCCTCCCCGGAGCCCGGCCAGGGGTCCAAGGTCGAGGAGGACAGCCAGGCCCCGGGGGAGCAGGAGGTCGCCAACACCGACCACCCAGACAACCTTCCCAGCCAGAAACACCCAGGCCCACAGGCCGAGGAGGACAGCAAGAGCCTCTCCCAGGGCCTGGTGGACCGAGAGCAGGGCGTGGGTGCAGAGCGAGGGCAGCAGGCCAAGCGAGAAGAGGAGGAGGCCACAGAGGCTGGAGAGAAGGCTGTCCTTGAAGAAGAAAGCCCCACCGAGGCATTTAACCCCCACCCAAGCCTTGGCTACAAGGAGATCCGGAGGGGCGAGAGTACGTATGATGTCTGCCACCTTAACAAGTGTGTCCGGGAGAGGGGGAGGGTGGGAAGGAGGACCGCGTCCACAATTGCATCCCACCTTCACAACAACCCTGAAAGGTAGGTATTATCTCCATTTTCCAGATGGAAAAACTGAGGCTCAGAGAGGTTAAGTAATTTGCCCAAGGTCACACAGCTAATTTGTAGTAAAAGCTGAGATTCCAACCCAGGTTTGTCTGACTCCAAAACCCTGCATCTCCCACTATTCCTCAGAGCCCCTCCCCTCCGACCCAGGAGACCGAGAGGGGCCTTTGCGGGGTGGGTGGGCTTTGGGAACAGAGGGATGACAGCATGACAGGTGCAAACAGGCTGGTCTGGGGACAGTGTCGGCTTCACCCAGGGTTTAGGAGAGCCCCTGGCTCCTCATGAGAGCCTTGTCAGGGTCTTTCCTCCCTCCCCAACTGGGTGGGTCCGGGGCTTCTCGGGGGGAGAGGGCCCACAGAAGAGGCAGGCTCCGGCCAACCCAGCCCTCCGAGCTTGGAGAGGGTCTTGCAAAGCACGCTATCAAGATGGCTTTTTCCTCCAAGTGGAATCATGGACCCTGAATGTGGTCTGTGGTCACAGCGATGGCCACAGAGAGGCTCCAGGGAGTGGCAGGGACCGGGAAAGCGGTGGTCCCTCCTTTATTCTCCTGCTCTTGCCCACCAGTTCCTCCAGGTTGGCCCGAGGCTCTGGCTGTGGATGGAGCCGGGAAGACCGGGGCTGAGGAGGCTCAGCCCCCCGAGGAGAAGGGCGAGAGGGAGCACTCCCGGCTGGAGGAGGACGAGATGGCCGAGGCCCCTCAGGGCCCCTTCCGGGGTGGGAAGAACGGGGAGCTAGAGCCGGAACGGGAGGAGGAACAGCTCTCCAAGGAGTGGGAGGAGGCCAGGCGATGGAGCAGGATGGACCAGCTGGCCAAGGAGCTGGCAGCCAGGAAGCATCTGGAGGGGGAGGATGAGGAGGACGACCCTGACCGCTCCATGAAGCTCTCCTTCCGGGCCCGGGCCTACGACTTCAGGGGCCCAGGGCTGCAGCTGCGCCGAGGCTGGAGGCCGTCCTCCCGGGAGGACAGCGTGGAGGCGGGCCTGCCCCTCCAGGTGCGCAGCTACCCCGAGGAGAAGAAGGAGGAGGAGGGCAGCGCCAACCGCAGACCAGAGGTTGGTATGGGGCGGGTGCTGGCCCCAGGCCAGGCCTCCAGGGTGTGGGCCTGGCTAGACGTGCAGCGCCTGCCCCCACCGACGGCACACAGTCAGATCCTGTGGGTCTGAGACCGGAGAAGCACACAGATGGGGGGGCTCTTGGGAGCGGGGCAGAGCCGGGGCAGGGGCAGGGGCAAGGGCGGGGCAGGGCAGGGACGTGAGCGCAGCCTGGCTCACAGGCAGGCAGGAGAGGGGAATGTTCAGATCAGGTCATGGGAGCAGGAGAGGTAGGGAAGCCGATCCCTGGGGTCTCTGGGTCTCTGTCGCGGAGGTGATAGACAGGCTCTGCAGGTTTGGGAGTGGAGCAAGAATGGAGCTGCGGACAGAGGGAGCTTGGAAAGGAAAGGACCTGGCAGGGTCTGGTCTGGTCGGGGGGGGGGGTCCCACTGGCCCTGAGAGCCACAAGGGCCTGGGAGGAGGGGTCGTGAAAGAACAGGTGGTGTCCTGGGAAGCCCCAGCGGGCAGGTTGATCCAGCAGCATCCTGTCCTGGCCTCCAGGCAGCCCAGGCACACCCTCCTCCTAGGTTCAGACCCGGCCTCCCTCCCCTGGGGCAGGGCCAGGGCCAGCGGGACCTCAGCGCCTGGTGGTGAGTGGGTGAGGGAGGCACGGATGCACCAGAAGACCTGGGTTCTGCCTCTTCCTAGCTGTGTGACCTTGGGTGGGTTACTGCCCTCCTCTGAGCCTCTTTGGTTCCCCCAATTGAGAAATAGGGGTAAGGAGTCCTTTCTGCTTACCTTATTATTATGGTCAGAACACACATGACCTTTCAAAACGTGGCCATGTCCAGGGATACTTGGTTAGCTCAGTGGGGTGCTGGGACATAGCCCCAGAGGTGAGGAGGTGCAAGTTGGGGTCCCTGGGAGGCAGGCTGGCAACAGCACCTTGGAGCTGGGGGAGGCCTTAGGGGTCTGTGGTCCAGGCCTCAGTGCCCAGATAGGAATCAGGGCCCTGCGGGGGCTGGGACCTCTCCATGGCCCCGGTGCTCTCTGCCCACCCAGAGAAGGATGTGGCCCCTTCCTCGGGTCCCAACCCTCCCTCCACGCTGGGACCAGTTCTTGGCAGCCTGAGAGGAAGAAGACTCCTGGGCAGCTGGAGCTAGGAGAGGTCATCTGTCAATGTCCCCAGGAGACCACCCTCTAGCCCTAGCTTTGGACCAGGACAAGCCCGGGCACCTTTGATCACCCCCTTCCCCACCCACAGAGGCTGGAGAGAGCAAGGTGCCCTGAGGTGTCTGCCAGCTTCCGTTCTCCATGGGCAGAGGGAGCCTGGACTGCAGGGCGGAGGAATGGGGGCCCCAGAGCCATGTGGACAGGACAGGGCAGGGGCCTCCTCCACCCAGCCCGAGGGTCTTCTCAGAAATGCTCCAGCATCACAGAATTCATGCCCCCGGGGCTACTCCAAGACAGAAGGCTCTAGGGTCCCTATTTCCATGACAACCACGTCCATCTCTTCCAAGTGGCCCCAATGGGTGTCCTCCACCACCTGGCATCCAGCAGGGACCCCCGCGAAGACCACCCTCCCCAGGTCAAGACCGGGTGTGGGGGCATGGCCTTCCCTGACTCCTGCTCTGAGTCCCAGGGCATGGGCTTGTGGACATCAGTCCTGACTCGGGGGGTCCTGGAAGCTTCCTGAGGCTGGGGCACAGAGCAGGCCTCCCAGAAGGGTCCTCTGCCCCGAACCACCCTGGCAGCCAGAGCCCCCTATGATGAGGCCTAAGGATCCAGGCCCAGCCCTCAGGAGGGAGAGGCAGGGCAGCTCTCACCCCCTCAACCTGTGCCAAAGGCCCACGGCCCCTCAGGCGGGGAAGCCTGTCCTCGCCCTCGGGGCCACTGTCACGGTCCAGGCCTTGGGAGAGGGGCCTGGGAGAAGCACTGGAGGGCAATGAGGCTTCGTTTTCCACGTGTCTGCCCAGAGCCGTTCAGGAGGCGGGTCTGGATCTGAGGCCACCAGGGGTGGTGTAGGGTCGGGGCCCCTGGTCCCCCTCCATTTCTTGCTCACAGTAACCCTCAGTAATCCCAGCAGGGCAGCGTCTCTGTCCCCATGGTATGAATGAAGGCCCTAAGGCTCAGAGAGGCAAAGCCACCTGTCTGAGGCCGCACAGCTAGGCAGCGGCACAACCAGTCTGGCAGACTGCACTGTCCACACGGCCGGCCCAGTCCCTGCAGGAGCCTTGATGTTCCTTCCTAGGACCAGGAGCTGGAGAGCCTGTCGGCCATCGAGGCGGAGCTGGAGAAGGTGGCCCACCAGCTGCAGGCGCTGCGGCGGGGCTGACACGCCAGCCGGCCCCCCCGCCCAGCCAGGGCCCCGAGGCAGCCAGTGGTCCTGGCTCTGTTGTCCCCTTTGCAGGCCCTGGCCAGACGGCCCGCGCGCTGCTTCTGGTAGAGAGGCTGCTCCCAGCCTGCCCAAGCCCAGGCCACCCTGTCGCCCCCTTGCTCCTTTCCTCCTGCTCTTGACTCCTGCCCCAGTGTGCCCCTCTGCAGGGCGGACCCCCTCCCCCCACTTTAAACGGTGATCTTTTCTCTCTGGACACAGGCAGCTTTCTAGAAGTTTCCTTTCCACCATCAGAGCCATTGGGCACAACTGCAATAACTTCTGACCTTTTGGTGAAAGCTGAGAACTCCTGACTGTAATATATTCTGTACAAAATTTATCTAAGGAAAAATAAATCTGCTCTGGGCTTTCTGGTTTCTGTGGATGTCTCCCCCCTTGACTCAGAGTGGGGTGGGGTGGGTTCGCGCAAAGGGACAAGGGGAAGTTTATTTCCCTGGAGCAAATCCTTTCTGGGCTACTTTTTAGTCATGGGACTCGGGGTAAGTGACTTTGCATCTCTGGATATCAATTTCTTCATCTGTAAAATGGGGAGAATACGTATTATTTCCATCATCAGATGATAAGGAGGATTCGAAGGGCCCGGGCAGCCTGGACCATAAAACCATTATGATGATGATATGAGTCCTTTGAAGGAAGGGTCCTGGCAGGTCTAGGCCTCACCTAGGAGGCTGGTGAGGGGGCTGCCTGCCACTGCCACTAACCATCCCGAGGCACAGAGGAACACCCTCCAAAGCTGGTGCCATAAGGCGTTTATTTCTTCACACGTTTCAAGGGTGCACTCCATCCACGACAATTACAGAAATAACACACACAACACCAAACTGTATTCCACGAGGCGGTCAGGTACCAAAACATCTGCTACCACGACTAGTTAACAAAGAGAACATGGGGTCACCTTGTCCCTGAAATAACCCATCCCAAAGATGGCCACCTGTAGTGTCATAATCATGCGGAACACAGGGGCGCCTGGGTGGCTCAGTCGGTTAGGCGTCTGCCTTCAGCTCAGGTCATGATCCCAGGGTCCTGGGATGGAGCCCCGCATCGGGCTCCCTGCTCGGCGGGGAGCCTGCTTCTCCCTCTGCCTCTCCCCCTGCTTATGCTCTCTGTCTCTGTCTCTCTCTCTCTCTCTCTGAAAAATAAATAAATAAAATCTTTAAATAAAATCACGCAGAACACAAAGCCCAATCGAAAGAGCCAATGGATGTTTCCTGGCTTTTCCAGAAGCAGTGATTTTTATATACAGTCTGTATATGCAGAGAGACAGCGTGTGCTTGGATGTACACAATCAAGTACAAGGCAGCTTGGGGGTCTGGTTAATGTTGCTTGTTGCTTGTGTGAACAGGATCGGAGCATCAGCACTTGTCACAAAGCACAGGTGTCACTAGAACTAAAACCACCAGACTTTGGGTGAAGTCGCCATGGGAGAAGCTTTTTGAGGGAAAACAGATGTCGAAGAGGTGTGATCCCACAGACAGCCCTGGAGGAAGAGGTCAGCCAGGCTGCGGGGGACGAGACAGCCCCTCGAAGCTGTCGGGTCTGGAAGTAAAGGGGAAACGCAACGCGTTCTGGAAAAGGCCCCAGGCGGTCTGGGCGGGGCCGGGTGGTCAGAACCGGAAGGAAGAGTGCCCGGGTCCCACCGCCCTGTCCTGTGAACAGTCTGTTTGGGGGGCGGGGGGTATCGCTCTGAGATCACATTGGCGACGCTGCGCAGAGAGAAGGGGCAGAGGCCCAGGCCCTTCCTCATGGAGGGCAGGACCAGCGGGAGCATCGCGGGTCTGGGGCCTCAGCCACATCATGTCAGACTCGGGCAGGGCAGGGCAGGGCAGGGCGAGGTGCGGGGCATCAGGGCGTGGCCAGGCTGGCCAAGGAAGAAGGTCAAGGATCGGGGCACTTCTCTGCCCCGCAGTAAGCCACAAGGAGGGGCCGTTGCCTTCAGGACAGCCAGCACACAGCTCAAGGTCTCCGTAGCTCCGGGCCAGGGCCCGTGGAGGACGAGGGCTGTTGGGAATGCCGCCGGATGATCACTTTCTAGGGCACAGAGGAGAGGCCGATGCAGACCCCAGGGTCATGAGTGAAGCCATTCGTCAGCTGTATGGCCAGCAGTGTGAGTGCCTGAGCCAGGCCAAGCTTCTAGATTAGGACGAGGACATCCCGTCTCCCTCGGTCTCAGAGTGGCCACGTGGCAGGCAACGGCTGTGTGTCCCCCCCGCCCCCGGCTGGAAAGCTCGTTTCTTGTGGGCCTTCATCCTTCCACAAGGCCCGCCGGGCGGGCTTCTGGGTAGAGAGGGACTCTTTCAAAGTTGTTCTCATTATTGATGGAGGCGCACTTAAAGGATGCACCGGAGAACCCCCTGGGGTTCCAGCTGGGTCTGCCTCCTCCCAGTGATGCGGGTGGCTTCAGGCCCCGCCCACCATGCTGCGCAGCAAACGGAGACACCTCTGTGAATGCCAACGGCAAGGGTGCTACCCCGGGGGACTCCCCCGGGGCCCTCTGGAAGAGGTTAGATACCCAGAGCCTGCACTCAGTCGGGGCCTAATGTCTGTGGAATCACATCATTCTAGAATCAAAGCATCTGTAAGCAGAACTGAGCCCCAGGCCTCCGCTTCAGGCTGCCCAGGGCAGAGATCTTGCAAGTGACCCTCTGGAACTACCCAGGGCCTACCCAGGGCCTCAGCCAAAATGCTCCTGGAGCCCTTGACATCAGGAGTGCCTCCAGCAGCCCCGGCTGCTGACCGCAACCCAGACAGGTGCCGCAAGGCCACAGACCCCACCATGCCCACCACCCGGCAAACAGACGCTTGGGAATGAGAGTCCTAACTGCCCTCCGGATTCTGGTGGGGGCCGGCTCCAAGCGATACACGTGCACACCGCAGCAGACCCCGCCCTGGGGCCCTGATCCAGGGGCAGCAGCAGCAAGCCTCTGGGGAAGGGGCTGCTAAGGCGAGGTGCATTTTAGTGGGCCCTTCCCTGATGCAGACACTGCACGGCCTGAGGGGAAATGAATTCTATGGATAGTGTCCTGGGATCCAGTGCGGTCAGTGTGCACCCAGCCAACACCGGAGTGGAAGTCGCTGGCTGGTGCCTCCTCCCCAGTGATGGCCCCTCTCGTCTCTGCTCCTGAAATCCCTCGATCAGAATGGCCAGTGTTTGCTGGATGGTGATCACCAGCCGGGCCAGGAGTGGCCTGCTTGCTCCCACACTGGGCCTTCCCTCTCCCTGCACCTGCTGCTCCCAGATCTTTAAGAAGTGAAACCCACCCCCCCTCAGTTTCGGCTCCCAGAGGCAGTAGTCACCCTACTTGCCACCTGCACTGAGGCCAGTGGGGAACTGTTACTGGACCTGTGGGCCCTGGACCTGAGCATGTGTGACCCTGGGGGTGGACCCAAGTTACACAGGAACATGATATGGCCAGGAGCCCCAGCCCAGCATCGGGGGTCACCCGCACCCTCCCCCAACCTGTTCTTGAGGCAGGTCGGGATTGGAATTTCATGAACAGACCAGAACGACACAAGCTTTCAGCAACATTTGTAAACACGTGTGAAATGCAGTTTGATTTCAGTAGTTTATTTTGGAGACAAAGCAGTGCAAGAGGCCAGCCGCGCTTTCCTGCTTCCCCGGGGCTCAGGGTTGGACTAGGAAAGGCGCTGTACAGACATTATAATCGGGGTTCAACACTCAAGTCGTGTAAACGCGGTTAGTTGGTGGGCCCTCAGGTTCCAAGACAGCCGGGCAGTTCCGACGGCACCAGCCCTCACCCCAGGCCCAGCCCCGTTTGATGGCGGCCACCACCCAGCTCTTCCTTTCCCGAAGGTGGGTGACCCCCACGCCCCTGCTGAGCCGGGCCTGAAGGTCCCTCCGAGCGCCCAGGTCAGCAGCCTCTCTGAAGCCACCCTCACTGGACCATGCAGGGCAGCCCAGCCCTTCCCACTTTCTCAAAGTGAACGGATATCTGAAGACACAAGATCATGCTCAGGGGGTCATATACATCAAACCCAGGTTCACCTTGTCCCAGGACTGACAAAGCCTCTCGCTGGCCCCCTTCTCTGTGGAGGGCCAGGTGGGCTGCCCGCTGCACCGTGGGAACAGACCGATCAGCTGGTGCGATCTGTTGCCATCAGGGGCCGGGGTGATGCTCATGGAGGAGCGGGTAATGGCTTCCTCCCCTCTGGGGATGCAGCTCCCTTCACACTTGGCTGGCTTAGTGCTTAGGGCTTACAGTGAGTATGGGAGAAGGGCAGAGCAGGCCCACTGGGCGGGTGTGAAAAGACGTGAAGCATACAGGC